GGAGTGAGAGGGGTGGTAGTGGCGGAGTAATCACATGCTCTACTTTCTTTTTCATTTCTCACGCAACCCTCTCACCTCTTCCTCAACCAAACGAACCCGGAGTTCTCACCTGAGCGCCCCTACCCCCCAATCTCCCCGTTATTCTGTTAGCGAGGCAGTCGCGACCAACCGTAACGAGGGGGGTCACGTGAGGACAACAAAAACTGTGCCACCAATACACTTGACACATGTACGGATAGGAAGAGGAGGCTTGTATAAAAGGAAAGAAGCGTGGGTTCTGTTGTCGTTTTTATTTGTACAACCTTGTGAGTCAAAATGGTTTACAATTAAAGAAGCGGCTCTCAACCTGTGGGTCGCGACTCCTTTGGGGGTCGAAGGACCCTTACACAAAGGTTGCCTAAGAACATCGGAAAAACACATATTTGTGAAGTAACAACGAAAATAATTGTATGGTTTGGAGTCACCACAACATGAGGAACTGTATTAAAAGCTCTTGGCACGAGGAAGGTTGAGAACCACTGAATTAAAACTTAACAACATGCAGCGTCAGCAGAGACCTAGGAATCACTATTAAGACAATGTACAAGCTACAGTGGCATCGGGCACGACTTAGCCATGAAACAATGTAATCACTGGCTTAGGGCATCAGAAGAAACGGGAAACCATAAAAATATCACTGGCCTAGGTCATCAGAAGAAACGGGGCACCATAAAAATAGTAAGAAAAAAATGAAGACTTCAAATAAATAACTGTTGCATAAAAAGGTAAATATTTTAGAACCGATACAACTGAGAAATGGTTTCGCTATTTAATGACCCAAGAATGTCATCTTATCACCAGAAATTAAAATATATTTTAATGGTAGTGTAGAAAGCTGATTAATGCTTACCCAGACTACATACGTTTCCACTAGCATCTCTTATCTGTTGGTCTTTGATTAATAGAATTATTATGATGGGAAAACTAAATTCAAATATGCACCAAAATGTATCCCACATTTTGAACATATCAAAAAAAAATTCTGGACAGCCCCCTTCTTTCTTTTATCTTTTTCATTTGCGCTCAGTTTGTAAAATGATGCTTGCGTTTTTTTTTGTTGTTTTTTTTTTAAATAGAAACTTTTTTTGGAAGAAACCACATTATTGTTTATTAATATATATATATATATATATATATATATATATATATGTATGTATATATATATACTATCCAATATATTTTTTTTTTGTTGTTTTTTTTTTAAATAGAAACTTTTTTTGGAAGAAACCACATTATTGTTTATTAATATATATATATATATATATATATATATATATATATGTATGTACATATATATACTATCCAATATACCCGGCGTTGCACGGGATTGCATTAGGACCCCATCCTTGTGTGACCCCGATCCCATTGGAACCCTAATCCCAATCTGACACTGATCCCGGGGCAGTCCCATTTCCCGGTTTTATCCCGATCCCGGTGGATCCATTCAAGGTTGGGATCCCGATCCAGGTGGGATCCTGATCCCTTTGGGATAAAGATTATGATGGGATTCCGAACCCTTTGGAATCCCGTTTAAAAAAAATTACTCAATGTTACTGAGAGAACAGTAAACTCCGGGACAGTATAGACATGAATAGAACTAACTAAAATTTCAATAATCCCTTAGATCCCACTATAAATCCCCGTGGAACAGTTTAGAACTTTCTGGGACATTCTAGATTAAATTTAATAACCTGCTCGAAACATGTGTAAAACTACTTTTCTAATTATTTTTAATACGATAAAAATCTTCCAAAAAATACCATAATTATAATCTTTTTTTCCCTTTAAGTAAATAATGTTTAAGTTAATCATGGGGCCCCCGGGGGGGGGGCATTCCATAACTGGCCGATTTAGCTTTGCCTAAGATAGGGTGCCCTATAAATATCAGACGGATAAATAATAGAGTTAAAATTTAAAATTGATCCCAATAAAATCTACTTAAAAATTCCAGAGATAGAGCTTTTTAAAATTATCGAACTTTCTGGGAAATTCTAGATGGGATATTATTAGTTTTCTAGATGGGATATTATTAGTTTTCTAGATGGGATATTATTAGTTTTAAATCCACCGATATTTCAATACGGACTAAGAAGCCTAATGAACAAAGTTAGGCTTAGATCCATAAATTCACATAGAACATATACCACTATACCGTGGTCTAACCTTATGGATATTTATTTAGGTTATATATATAAGGAAAAATGAGCTGGGGCCCCCGGCCCCAGAGAAAAGGATATTATGAGTTCAGTACCCTTCGGTATTTGAATGTGGATGATCATGTGTATGTGTAAGAAGTTTGGTCAAGATCCATCCATTCATGTAGGAGTAATAAGCCTATTGATATTTATATAGCAAATATAAGGAAGACCCATTTCCCGGCGTGATCCCGATCCCGGTGAAACCATTCAAGGTTAGTATCCCGATCCTGGTGTGATCCCGTTTTCTGGTGGGATGCTGATCCCATTGGGATAAAGATTATGATGGGATCCCAGCCCCTTTGTTTCTATCCCGAATGAAAAAAAAAATACTCAGTGTTAATGAGATAACAATAAACTCAGGGACAGTATAGAAATGAATAGAACTAACTAACATTTCAATATTCCCTTAGATCCCACTATATATCACCTTGGTAAAATTTAGAACTATCTGGAACATTCTAGATTAAATTTAATAACATCCTCGAAACATGTGTAAAATCTCATTTTCTATTTATTTTTCAAATACGATAAAAATCTTGAACAAATGCCATCATTATAATCGTTTTTCTTTTAAGTTAATCGAGGGGCCCCGGTGGGGGGGGGGCATATTCAATAACTGTACCAATTTAGTTATGACTGACATAGGGGGCCCTTTAAAATAAGACGGATAAATAATAACGTTAAAATTTAAACGTTGTCCCATTAAAATCTACATAAAAATGCCTTAGATATAGCTTTTTAGAATTATGGAACTTTCTGGAAAATTCTAGATTGGATATTCTTAGTTTTAAATCCACCGATATATCAATACGGACAATGAAGGGTATTGCTACAACGCTAGGCCTATATCCATCAATTCACATAGAAACTGTAGTGATGTCTAAGCCTATTGATATTTATATAGCTTATATAAGAAAAAATGAACTGGGCCCCCCGGCCCCATAGGAATGTATAATATGAGGTGAGTACATTTAGTATTTTAATATTGATAATAAAGTTTATGTGAACTAAATTTTGTCAAGATCCATCCACTCATCTAGGAGTATTTGTTTCTAATTATTTGTATATAGTTCATATAAGGAAAAAACGAATTCGGGGCCCCGGGCCCCAAACGTAATGTTATAAAAAGCTCACAACCCCTTAAGATTTCTTTCTGGATCATGATGGATATATGTACCAAGTTTGGTCAAGATCCATCAATCTATGTAAAAGCCTTTGTGGAACAAACCAACAAAATTTCACTTTTATATATATACTAGCCGATATACCCGGCGTGGCCCGGGATTGCATTAGGACCCCATCTTCATGGGACCCCGATCCCTTTGGGACCCCAATCCGATTGTTGGGATCTTGATCCCGGTGGGATCCCGTTTTCCGGTGAGATCCTGATCCCATTGGGATAAAGATTATAATGGGATCCTGACCGCTTTGGTTTCTAACCCGAATAAAAAAAAATCACTCAGAGGTACTGAGAGACGAGTAAGCTACGGGACCGTATGGAAATGAATAGAACTAACTAACATCAATATTCCCTTAGATCCAACTATATATCCCCTTTGAATAATTTAGAACTTTCTGGAACATTCGAGATTAAATTTAATAACATCCTCGAAACGTGTGTAAAAACTACTTTTCTAATTATTTTTCAAATATGATAAAAATCTTGAACAAATGCCATAATTATAATCGTTTTTCTTTTAAGTTAATCGAGGGGCCGGGGGGAGGGGGGCGCCATTCCACAACTGTACCGATATAGTTATGCCTGAGTAGGGGGCCCTATAAATTAAGAGGGATAAATAATAACGTTAAATTTTAAAATGTGTAACATTAAAATCTACTTAAAAATGCCTTAGATATAGCTTTTTAAAATTATGGAACTTTCTGGAAAATTCTAGATTGGCTATTCTTAGTTTAAAATTCACCGATATTCCAAAACGGACAATGAAGGGTATTGCTACCAGGCTAGGCCTATATCCATCAATTCACATAGAACCTATAGTGTTGTTTAATCCTACTGAAATTTAAATAGCTTATTTTAGAAAAAATTAAACGGGCCCCCGGCCCCAGAGGGATGGATATTATGAGTTCAGTACCCTTGGGTATTTAAATATGGATAATTAAGAGTATAATAAGTTTGATCAAGATCCATCTATTCATGTAGGAGCATTAAGCCTATTGATATTTATATAGCCAATATAAGAAAAAATTAAACGGGGACCTCGGCCCCAGAGTGATGGATATTATGAGGTCAGTACCCTCATATACGAAAAAACGACATTTTGGGCCCCCGGCCCCAAACGAAATCCCCCTAAGAGTTCCTTCTGGATAATGATGGATATATGTGCCAAGTTTGGTCAAGATCCATCAATCCATGTAAAAGCCTTTGTGGAACAAACAGACAAACCCACAAACTTTCATTTATTTATATATATACTATATATACATGTATCTATATTTGTAAAGATAGTCTGAAAGAAACACTACAGGTGACCTGTTATTTGGAAGAAAATTGGCAAATATTTGTGAGCCCTAAAGAATAAGTATTGATATGCATACAAACGCTTCGTTTAAAATTAATTGTGAAATTTCATTCACTATTTTATTTTTATAACTTAGTATTGTAATCTATCAAATAACGGTAAATGCAAAACAAAATGGAGCGTAGATATTGCTGGTTTGAATTTAAAACCCCAAGACACACCGTTGATTTTAAGATTTGTTTATTTCCGGTACTTTTGGATTTTATCTTTGACTAATTTTAGCGAACTCTAAATAAACTAAATAGACGAATTCTGACAGTGCAAGTCGATTGTGAAATCGCATACCTTACGCATTGCGCAACTGTGAAAGAAGGGCCTTTTATTGAAACACAGATTTCAGGTGCGTTTTATCTAGCAAATGTTTAACTGAATAATTAGTTACGACAAATAAAAAAATTACAGGATTAAGAAATTAATTGATTAACTTTTTATTAGATTAGGATCATCATCGGATCCGGATAGGTTTAATTGGTACGGTTTAATTTAAGTAAGTTCTTAAGTAGAGATAGGTGGTTTATTGACTATGACTGATATGCGATTGATTCAATCAATTGATTATATTTTCTTTAGCACAAGCCTTACCAATGTTTGTAGCCTTGCCTAACAATATAGTATAGTAATATAGTAATAAATAATAGATTATATATAGTCAGTGTGTGACACTGACAGTCTGACAGTGACACAGTGTGTCCTTTACCTAGCATAACAATTTGTTGAATCTTGTTTATGTATGTATTTATAGTCACTATTGTTTTGAATTATATCTCTGAAATCACTCTTAAGTAGGTATGTGAAATTCTGACTTTTTGCATCGCCAATTCAATGTGTTGCTAAAAAAATGTTTGTCAATGTTTTAGACAGTGGTCTGGTCGTTGTGCACTTCAAAATTATTTTTTTTGTGCCTAGTCTTATAATTGGACTCCAAATGAGATTTTCAAGAAATAATACACTTATTTTTCTTTATTTGTATATATTTTATGTATCGCTGCTTACTTATGACTATGTTTTCATCGGATTATGTGCAGTTAAAAACACTGATTCTGTAAAGCATTAAAAAATTGGTAAATGGCAATTTATAGATTTTATATAAATGTGTGTTATTGATTAACAATTTACCCAATGAAATTATTTAATTGTGCATAAAAATATCAATTCCTTTATAATTTAATGAGTGCTCATTTGTGAAAATATTATATTCAGTAGGCCTACCTCCCACAATAAAATCAATAACAGAAAGGGGGGGGGGGGTCATGTGACCATGTTCCTAAAGAGAGATTGGTCAAAGCTTCTGTTGTCATCTTTAAACCTAATCACTAATCACGTAATTTATTTGTTTCTTTTACTAATATTTAATGAGTGCTCATTTGTGAAAATATTTTATTCAGTAGGCCTACCTCCCACAATAAAATCAAAAACAGAAAGGGGGGGGGGGGGTCATGTGACCATGTTCCTAAAGAGAGATTGGTCAAAGCTTCTGTTGTCATCTTTAAACCTAATCACTAATCACGTTATTATATTGTTTCTTTTACTAAAGTTAAAGTAACAAGATTATTTTTTTTAAATATGCCCATTTTGTATGCAGTAAAACTATTATTATGGTAATTATGGTATTTATTGACGTATAACACGCCCCCACGTATAACACGCACCTCAATTTAAGAAGGAAATTTCAGGGGAAAAAAACTAAACATATCGGCGTATAACACGCACACATCATTTGCCCCCTATTTTCAGGGAGAAAAAGTGTGTGTTATACGCCAAAAAATACGGTATATACATATTTAGGCCTATATTTTAATTAATAATTTTAATCATAATTATTAGCACACAAAAAATTTTTACAATAACATTATTTGTCAGCCTAGATTTTATTTTCAAATATGCGCATATTACTTTGGCAAAAAAGAAGCTGGGTATAATTTTTTCAGACTATGTCCCCTTCCTCCCAGTTCATACATCTATTTATATTAGATATTTTAAAAAACAATATTTTGAAACTCTTCTAAAGCTTTGATGGCATTTTCCAATTCATTGAAAGTATGGAAATACAGAGTGGAGGTGTTGTCGCTAGTATGAACTACTAATAAATGAATGGAGCAATACTTCGCCATGGTGATTGAAAGTCAGTTTTTAAAGTTACAGTTTTGTTTTGATTTGATTGGCTGGATTACCAATAGCTCTCTAGAAGCTATTTGCAGTTTACTCTGAAGCTCCCTAGAAGCTATTGAAACTACCAATATAAACTCTCTTTATAATCTAGGCCTACTATATTATCTTGTATTTATACTCTTTCTCTCTCACTCTCTCTCTCTCTCTCTCTATTATATATATATATATATATATATATATATATATATATTAATAATCACTATTAGGTACTTAGTACTTCAAAACTCCTTCATGAACTTGATGCACTGCTCTGTGCATGTTGAAAAATGGTGCAAAAACTTGTAACCTATTATTTTTTTAAAGGTTTATGTTAACCTCTGTAAATAACCTTGCAAGTCAAAATTGAAATAAATAGCGTTGTTCGGTCATCTGTTTGATAGTTATTAGTTTCTGCTCACGTCACTTTGAATTACATTACTTATCGATGCAGTAGATGACCAGCAGTGTTTCTTATGTGTTTCACTGTGTTGTTTGTGCATCATAGTATAGGAGTTGCCAGAATTTTCACTGTGTCAATGTCATAATGCCTACGTGACTCCATCTCTGGGTTTTATCTTAAAGAGAGCGACTTCCCTTAGATGAGTTCCAATTAACCCATGATGCTCATGTTGTTTTGCTTGTCTAGACCTTTGGGGATTGAACTCTAGGCCACAAGCTTGGGATTGGCTCAGTTCAGACTGCTCGGCCACTTTAGTAATAATTATTTTATAAAGGCATGGCCTACAGTTTATTTTAATCACAAGGTTGTTTTTTTTTCATTTTTTTTATTTCACAGCTTAAGTGTGTTTTCCTTTCCCTAGAGCCACGGGCAGCAGTAGACTACACTGAAAGAACATGTCCTATCCCATCTATCCCAGCGCGGTGCCAAGAGTTGCGGATGAGTTTCTCTCCAAAGTAGACCTTTACATTGAATGCAAGAATTTACTCAACAAAGATGTCATGTCAAAGTCAGACCCATGTGCTGTTTTGTACATGTCTCGGAAGGGAGGTCTACTCGATGAGGTTAGCATCATCAATTTTATTTAACCAAGCTATGTATTCATGGAGAAAAGATAAAATCTTAAATGTTACGCCAAAAAATTATGTAAATTGCTCATTTAATTTATACAAAAGTAAAATTGTAAAAATGTTGAATGAAAAGATTTGCACTAGGAATTTTTTTTATGACATACATAGATAAAACATGTACACATTTTTTTGCATTACAATTCTATCCTTTCTGTCTTTCTATACTTTCTTAGATTGCTCGTACAGAAAACGTGAAAAACTGTTTGGATCCCAAATTTGCTACAGCAATTAAAGTTAACTACTATTTTGAAGAAGTTCAAAAGATCAAGATTTGTATTTATGATGTAGACAACAAAACATACACGCTTTCCGATGATGACTTCCTGGGACAGATAGAGTGTACTCTGGGACAGGTCGGTCTTCATTATAAAATTTGGTCATTAAAAAAAAAGGATTTAATTTAGTATGAAATTTTCAGAGCAGATTTTTCCCCGCAGCATTAACAAGGAGTCATTGAACATTTTAATTAAAGAAATAGCCCATACAGCCTAAATAAAGCTTATCAATTTTACAGTGATATAGAACGTTCAAGTTTAAAAACTTAAGGTTGTACTTCAGAAAATGAAATGTAGTTGTAAGCAAGTATCAATAAATGTTCATTAAATTTAGTACTAGTTTTATAGATAATATAGTTAAATTTGTTCATATTTATCATGATTGTATTTCCAGCTGGTTTCGAACAGCCCATACGTAAAGCCGCTTACTCTAAAAGATAATGTAACTAAAGCAGGTCAAGGTCAGATCACAGTAAGTGTATTATTTAAACTATACATAAACACAGGATGAAATATGTACCATGTTGAAACTGTTCTCTGACAGCTCAATATAATTTATTAAATTTATCTCAATTTGTGTTAATGACTTTTATTGAACTGCAAACAGCAGACATTTTTATCAGTTTAGTATTTTAAAGGGGCTTGACCGATTTCCTTTTTGCCAACATGTCCTCTTTCCTGTCATGCATTCACAGACTGTTTGGTCATAAATAAAGTTATAATTCATATTCCACTTTAGAGCTCTCTTGAAACTAAATATACATATTTTACAAAGGTCAGGGCTGAAGAAGTCAAAGAAGGTGGGGAGGTTGCACAGATTACTTTCAAGGCCAAGAAACTTGACAATAAAGTAAGAGTTTATTGTAATTCCTCTTGTTTATGTTCTTTCTCTTAGGGAAAACTGCTATAAGACTATATGACCTTTAAAATCCAACATTTGTACTACTCTGTTACCTGCAAGTCGAGGGGAAGGGGGGGGGGTCTGAGGCGTCAAGTGCACCCCGTTGCACTATAGCATTAACCAAAAGTGCTACGTAACAGGTCAAGATGGAAACAACATTATCTTACAAGTTAAGTTTTTTTTTATATCCAGTTTAGTTTTCTTTTAAGACTTTTGATAAGAAGGGATGGTGTGCATGACAAGTATCACAGTGCTTTTGTAGGATGCTAGCTTATTATAGTCTCTGTGTGCAGGCAATGCACTAGTTCATTCAGCTAGATTCTAAAGAATTTAAAAAAAACTGTTTTTGTCAAGATACAAAATTTCAAGTCTGTGTCTTGAGTATCATTTAAAAACTTAATTTTTTTTTTTACATTTTTATAAGGCAAATTTTTTATCATAATCAATTTTCAGGATTTTATGGGAAAGTCTGATCCATACCTTGAAATTCAAAAACCAACAATAGATGGTGGGTGGCAAGTCATTCACAGAACTGAGGTGAGAGCAACTGGACTGTTATGTTGTATTCATGACATCAATATGCTGTCATTAATAATCTATTAGGAGCTATCAAGGCTAAGATTTCTATTATAAACTAGATAGACTTAAATGTTGACCTGAATATTGGGTTGACCTGAATATTGGATAGACCTGAATGTTGGATAGACCTGCAGGGCCGGCACTAGGGGATGGTGAAGTGGGCGACCGCCCAGTTTGCGGGGCTCAGCGCGTTGCCGTAGTATATTTATAATATACCTAACCCTACTAATAGTTCCTAATCTAATTCTAGGATTGATGGAAATGTTGGCGAAGTTTGATCCCACAATGAAGGAACATATTCGCCGGATCATACTTTGTCATTACTTGGTCACCAAATCCAAGATGAGTTGATTGAGTTAATGGCATTAAATGCTCAAAGCTGTCGTTTGTCTTATTTTTTGCTTGTGTCCAGATTACAATGGCTCATTCAGCTTCGTATTTTCGTTATTTGTTTTTGACAACCTTGATATTGATAACAATGGAGCCGCGATGAGTCATTTGGGCCAGAGCCATTAACTGTTATAGAAAAAAATAGAAATTTTGGAAACTAAGAAAGTGAACAAATATCTGTTATGACGCGTCCCATTATGACCAGCAAGGCCACAGTACGACTATAACATGTCTTAATATCCTATCGGCGGATTATATAACGTCTTTGGCCCCGCAAAATTCAATTTGCCCAAGACCCCCGCACCCTCCTAGCGCCAGCCCTGAGACCTGAATATTTGATAGACCTGAATGTTGGATAGAATGCAACTTGAATATTTGTATTGCACTTTGCAAGTTTGTTATTGAAAATACTGTAAAGAATAGAAACGAAAGGCTTGTGTTAGTTTTGTGTAGTAATAAAAGACAAATATGAAGAATAGAATCTTGTTTGCTTCATCAAAAGAGTTTTAGTATTTAATCCACTTTAAAAGTGTCATTACTTGGTGGAATCAAAATCCACTTTAAAAGTGTCATTACTTGGTGGAATCAAAATCCACTTTAAAAGTGTCATTACTTGGTTGAATCAAAATCCACTTTAAAAGTGTCATTACTTGGTTGAATCAAAATCCACTTTAAAAGTGTCATTACTTGGTTGAATCAAAATCCACTTTAAAAGTGTCATTACTTGGTTGAATCAAAATCCACTTTAAAAGTGTCATTACTTGGTGGAATCAAAATGCACTTTAAAAGTGTCATTACTTGGTTGAATCAAAATCCACTTTAAAAGTGTCATTACTTGGTTGAATCAAAATCCACTTTAAAAGTGTCATTACTTGGTGGAATCAAAATCCACTTTAAAAGTGTCATTACTTGGTGGAATCAAAATCCACTTTAAAAGTGTCATTACTTGGTGGAATCAAAATCCACAAAAAGGTTTTCGTCAAACTTCAAAAAACTTGTTCAATTTGATTTTATACTCTCCATTGTGTGCAACCTCCATTTATTTACAACATTGGCAAGCTAAAAATAACCAAAGCCCATTACAATCATTTTTTCGCAGGTGATAAAGAATAATTTGAACCCCACCTGGCGGCCGGTCAACCTGTCAGTTTACAGTCTTTGTGGGGGCAATAAACAACAGCAAATCAAGGTAACTGTTAGTTAGATGGCTGTCTGATGATTTAGTCAGATGGCTGTCTGATGATTTAGTCAGGTGGCTGTCTGATGATTTAGTCAGGTGGCTGTCTGATGATTTAGTCAGGTGGCTGTCTGATGATTAAGTCAGATGGCTGTCTGATGATTTAGTCAGATGGCTGTCTGATGATTTAGTCAGGTGGCTGTCTGATGATTTAGTCAGGTGGCTGTCTGATGATTTAGTCAGGTGGCTGTCTGATGATTAAGTCAGGTGGCTGTCTGATGATTTAGTCAGATGGCTGTCTGATGATTTAGTCAGATGGCTGTCTGATGATTTAGTCAGATGGCTGTTTGATGATTTAGTCAGATGGCTGTCTGATGATTTAGTGAGATGGCTGTCTGATGATTTAGTCAGATGGCTGTCTGATGATTTAGTCAGATGGCTGTCTGATGATTTAGTCAGATGGCTGTCTGATGATTTAGTCAGATGGCTGTCTGATGATTTAGTCAGATGGCTGTCTGATGATTTAGTTAAATAGAAGGTTGGCATTTTCTAAGTACTTAGTTTAAAAGATGAATTGAAATTTGTTATTTGGCTAATTGGATATCTCATTGAGTCAAAAAAATTTTTTTAAAGAGCCAAAATTTTCTGTTTTATAAGCACTGCATTTAATCATAGTGACAATATTTCATTTATATATAAATAAATATTCTCAGATTGATTGTTATGACTGGGACAGTGACGGTTCAAATGATTACATTGGAGGATTTACAACAACCCTTGAAGAAATGATGAAAGCTTCAGCAGGGGAGGTGAATATCAACTTAAACTTAATCAGTTTCTTTCTAAATACCTACTGAAAATTTGTAATAAAAAAATATTGCAACTTCATAAAATTTGTAAAAAATATTGCAACTTCATATCTTTGTACTTTGAGATGCATCATAGAATGTTCCCATCATAAGCAGTGGGGGGTAGCATGTCCAAGTGTATTGAGGTCACCCCTAGGTTAGTAAAAACCAAGTAACAATTGGGCTCCTATCCCAAGAATATTTTTTTAAAGGGAATATAATAATGTAACCCCTGAAGCTGGTAGCATTGTTTTTCCCGCTGACAAAAATGAGCCATTTTCTCATGGCACAATAGATCATGCACTCAAAAATAAGTTAATTAATTAATATTTCCACGTTAGTTGGCGGGGGTTCTGAATCATAACACAGAATTATTCAAGTTTGTCCACATTATTTCAAAATTCTTTTGTAAATTTGTATGGGCACACATTTAAAAGAAACATTCAGAAGTTATTTTCATAAAGTCATTAAGAGACCTCTTTCTCTGCAGCTTTCTTTCCCATGTATAAACCAAAGCAAGAAAGCCAAGAAGAAAAGTTATACAAACTCTGGAGTGGTTTATGTCTCTTCCTGCCATGTAAGCTTATGGATTAGTTACTAATATGTTACTTCATGTCAGGTAAGCTTATGGATTAGCTACTAATATGTTACTTCATGTCAGGTAATCTTATGGATTAGCTACTAAAATGTTACTTCATGTCAGGTAAGCTTATGGATTAGTTCCAATATGTTACTTCATGTCAGGTAAGCTTATGGATTAGTTCCTATATGTTACTTCATGTCAGGTAAACTTTTGGATTAGTTCCTATATGTTACTTCATGTCAGGTAAGCCTATGGATTAGCTTCTTATGTTACTTCATGTCAGGTAAACTTATGGATTAGTTCCTATATGTTACTTCATGTCAGGTAAACTTTTGGATTAGTTCCAATGTTACTTCATGTCAGGTAAACTTTTGGATTAGTTCCTATATGTTACTTCATGTCAGGTAAGCTTATGCTTTAGTTACCGAAATATGAAAAGGGATAAGCTTACATGACCTGGCGCTGTCCTATCTGAAAGAGCTGCTGATGCCTTATGTACCCACTAGAGAGCTCTGCTCATCCTATAGTGGCAAACTCTCGACACCACGTGTTTGCCTTGAGACTTACGGAAAGCGCACTTTCGCATTTGCTGGTCCAACAATTTGGAACGCCCTTCCTGTCGTTCTCAGAAACAACCAGACACTGGAGTCCTTTAAAACCGATTTAAAGACACATCTATTTCGCAAACACCTTCAGGGATGATTGTCAACCTTATTTTCCAGTTAATGCATAATGGCTGTGTTGCGTTTGTTTTAAATGTGGTAAATTGTAGATTTGTTTTTTGTTGACTTTGTACCGCGCTTCAAGCCTTCGGGGATGAAGCGTGTTTTTTTTTAAAAGAACTTTATTATTATTATTATTACCATGCTAAAAAACAGTTAAAATCTGTAGGTACCGATCCCATTCTTAAATCATTTTCAACATTTCTTCAGTGACTCTCTAAAATTATTTTTAACCATTGAAGCCCCCACACTAATTCCATGTTGTTTGTTGATTCTTGCAGCTTGTGAAAGAACATACATTTTTAGAATACATCTTTGGTGGCATGCAGATCAATTTTACAGTAAGTGTCCTGGATTTTAAGATGCCTTAAATAGTTGCATAAAGATATCTCAGCTCTCTCTTATTCAAAGACCACAGCTCTCTCTTATTCAAAGACCACAGCTCTCTCTTATTAAAAGACCACAGCTCTCTCTTATTCAAAGACCACAGCTCTCTTATTCAAAGACCACAGCTCTCTCTTATTCAAAGACCACAGCTCTCTCTTATTCAAAGACCACAGCTCTCTTATTCAAAGACCACAGCTCTCTCTCATTCAAAGACCACAGCTCTCTCTTATTCAAAGACCACAGCTCTCTCTTATTCAAAGACCACAGCTCTCTCTTATTCAAAGACCACAGCTCTCTCTTATTAAAAGACCACAGCTCTCTCTTATTCAAAGACCACAGCCCTCTCTTATTCAAAGACCACAGCTCTCTCTTATTAAAAGACCACAGCTCTCTCTTATTCAAAGACTACAGCCCTCTCTTATTCAAAGACCACAGCTCTCTCTTATTCAAAGACCACAGCCCTCTCTTATTCAAAGACCACAGCTCTCTTATTTAAAGACCACAGCTCTCTCTTATTCAAAGACCACAGCTCTCTCTTATTCAAACACCACAGCTCTCTCTTATTCAAAGATCACAGCTCTCTCTTATTCAAAGACCACAGCTCTCTCTTATTCAAAGACCACAGCTCTCTCTTATTCAAAGACCACAGCTCTCTCTTATTCAAAGACCACAGCTCTCTCTTATTCAAAGACCACAGCTCTCTCTTATTCAAAGACCACAGCTCTCTCTTATTCAAAGACCACAGCTCTCTCTTATTCAAAGACCACAGCTCTCTCTTATTCAAAGACCACAGCTCTCTCTTATTCAAAGACCACAGCTCTCTCTTATTCAAAGACCACAGCTCTCTCTTATTCAAAGACCACAGCTCTCTCTTATTCAAAGACCACAGCTCTCTCTTATTCAAAGACCACAGCTCTCTCTTATTCAAAGACCACAGCTCTCTCTCTTATTCAAAGACCACAACTCTCTCTTATTCAAAGACCACAGCTCTCTCTTATTCAAAGATTTTGTTGCAAATTAAAATTATACTTTTTTGCACCATGAGGGGGTTCACATATTCATTTGTTCATAACCTTCTAACCTGTCCAGGTGTGACACACCTATACCTCTGCAGGTGTGACACACCTATACCTCTGCAGGTGTGACACACCTATACCTGTCCTGGTGTGACACACCTTCATCTCTCCATTCCTGATAACCAGCTCATGCAACCCATTTTCCACTCCATGCAGGTTGGCATTGACTTCACAGCATCGAATGGTAACCCTTCACAGTCAACCTCTCTCCACTACATCAACCCTTATGCCCCTAACGAATACATGGCGGCCATCAAAGCTGTCGGGGATGTCTGTCAGGATTACGACACGTAAGATTAAATCTGGCTCAAACGTATGATAACACTAGTGAGATTATAGTATGTTATGATGTAACATAACTTTGATCGGCCAATGTTTTTGACATTTGAATTGTCACCACTCCGTTTATCAGTGAAGCAGATTGCCAGTGGTTGTATAGAAACTATCACTGCATCAGATTGCCAGTGGTTGTATAGAAACTATCATTGCATCAGATTGCCAGTGGTTGTATAGAAACTATCACTGCATCAGATTGCCAGTGGTTGTATAGAAACTATCATTGCATCAGATTGCCAGTGGTTGTATAGAAACTATCACTGCATCAGATTGCCAATGGTTGTATAGAAACTATCATTGCATCAGATTGCCAATGGTTGTATAGAAACTATCACTGCATCAGATTGCCAATGGTTGTATAGAAACTATCACTGCATCAGATTGCCAATGGTTGTATAGAAACTATCACTGCATCAGATTGCCAGTGGTTGTATAGAAACTATCACTGCATCAGATTGCCAATGGTTGTATAGAAACTATCACTGCATCAGATTGCCAATGTTTGTATAGAAACTATCATTGCATCAGACTGCCAATGGTTGTATAGAAACTATCACTGCATCAGATTGCCAATGGTTGTATAGAAACTATCACTGCATCAGATTGCCAGTGGTTGTATAGAAACTATCACTGCATCAGATTACCAGTGGTTGTATAGAAACTATCACTGCATCAGATTTCCAATGGTTGTATAGAAACTATCACTGCATCAGATTGCCAATGGTTGTATAGAAACTATCACTGCATCAGATTGCCAATGGTTGTATAGAAACCATCATTGCATCAGATTGCCAATGGTTGTATAGAAACTATCACTGCATCAGATTGCCAGTGGATGTATAGAAACTATCACTGCATCAGATTGCCAGTGGTTGTATAGAAACTATCACTGCATCAGATTGCCAGTGGTTGTATAGAAACTATCACTGCGTCAGATTGCTGTATCATCAATTCTTTTTAAAAAAGTGCAGAGTGTTGTTTTGTGAATGTTACTTAATTGTAAATGTTGATTTTATTTCCAAGTTTTGAAGAGCATTTTTTGAAAATATTGATCTTAGTTCCACGCATTGTAGAACATTTTTTGTAAATATTGATCTTAGATCCAATTTCTTTGTAAATATTGATCTTAGTTCCACGCATTGTAGAACATTTTTTTGTTCCATTTCATGCTAGTTCATCCCAGACTTCATTTATAATTTCTATGTTTTGACAGGGACAAAATGTTCCCAGCGTTAGGGTTCGGGGCAATGATTCCACCAGCCACCCAGGTGTCTCACGAGTTTGCCATCAACTTCAATGCCCAGAACCCATACTGTGCAGGTAACTGTTAGCCTTGTCCCATACTGTGCGGGTAATGATACCTTTACCCATACTGTGCAGGTAATGAAACCTTTTCCCATACTGTGCAGGTAATGAAACCTTTTCCCATACAAAGAAAGGGATTGGACTTGATCCCATACTGTGCAGGTAATGAAACCTTTTCCCATACTGTGCAGGTAATGAAACCTTTTCCCATACAAAGAAAGGGATTGGACTTGATCCCATACAGTTCAGGTAACTGTTAGCCTTGTCCCATACAGTGCAGGTAACCAATAGCCTCGTCCCATACAGTGCAGGTAACCAATAGCCTTGTCCCATACAGTGCAGGTAACCAATATCCTTGTCCCATACAGTGCAGGTAACCAATAGCCTTGTCCCATACAGTGCAGGTAACTGTTAGCCTTGTCTCATACAGTGAAGGTAACCAATAGCCTTATCCCATACAGTGCAGGTAACTGTTAGCCTTGTCCCATACAGTGTAGGTAACCAATAGCCTTGTCCCATACAGTGCAGGTAACCAATAGCCTTGTCCCATACAGTGCAGGTAACCAATAGCCTTGTCCCATACAGTGCAGGTAACCAATAGCCTTGTCCCATACAGTGCAGGTAACCAATAGCCTTGTCCCATACAATGCAGGTAACCAATAGCCTCATCCCATACAGTGCAGGTAACTGTTAGCCTTGTCCCATACAGTGCAGGTAACTGTTAGCCTTGTCCCATACTGTGCAGGTAACTGTTAGCCTTGTCCCATACAGTGCAGGTAACCAATAGCCTCGTCCCATACAGTGCAGGTAACCAATAGCCTCGTCCCATACAGTGCAGGTAACCAATAGCCTTGTCCCATATTGTGCAGGTAACCAATAGCCTTGTCCCATACAGTGCAGGTAACTGTTAGCCTTGTCCCATATTGTGCCGGTAACCAATAGCCTCATCCCATACAGTGCAGGTAACCAATAGCCTCATCCCATACAGTGCAGGTAACCAATAGCCTTGTCCCATACAGTGCATATAACCAATAGCCTTGTCCCAGGTTTAATTTAGATTGTTCAGCTTTGTAAGTCATTTCTTGTTTATGCCGTTTAAATGTTTGTTCCAGGTATTGACGGTGTCCTGGCGGCCTACACAAACTGTATCCAGTATGTCCAGCTGTACGGGCCAACCATTGTCTCTCCCATCATCAATCATGTGGCAAAGTTTGCCCAGGCTGCCCAGCAAGAGGAGGGAATGAAAGGGGCTCATGTGAGTCAAGGGATATATATAGTGAAATGTTACACTTCCTACATCAAACCACCTATATAGTGAAATGTTACATTTCCTACATCAAACCACCTATATAGTGAAATGTTACACTACCTACATCAAACCACCTATATAGTGAAATGTTACATTTCCTACATCAAACCACCTATATATTGAAATGTTACATAACCTACATCAAACCACCTATATAGTGAAATGTTACATAACCTACATCAAACCACCTATATAGTGAAATGTTACACTACCTACATCAAACCACCTATATAGTGAAATGTTACACTTCCTACATCAAACCACCTATATAGTGAAATGTTACACTACCTACATCAAACCACCTATATATTGAAATGTTACACTACCTACATCAAACCACCTATATAGTGAAATGTTACACTTCCTACATCAAACCACCTATATAGTTAAATGTTACACTACCTACATCAAACCACCTATATAGTGAAATGTTACACTACCTACATCAAACCACCTATATATTGAAATGTTACACTACCTACATCAAACCACCTATATAGTGAAATGTTACATAACCTACATCAAACCACCTATATAGTGAAATGTTACACTACCTACATCAAACCACCTATATAGTGAAATGTTACATAACCTACATCAAACCACCTATATAGTGAAATGTTACACTTCCTACATCAAACCACCTATATAGTGAAATGTTACACTACCTACATCAAACCACCTATATAGTGAAATGTTACACTACCTACATCAAACCACCTATATAGTGAAATGTTACACTACCTACATCAAACCACCTATATAGTGAAATGTTACACTTCCTACATCAAACCACCTATATAGTGAAATGTTACACTACCTACATCAAACCACCTAGATAGTGAAATGTTACATAACCTACATCAAACCACCTATATAGTGAAATGTTACACTTCCTACATCAAACCACCTATATAGTGAAATGTTACTTTTCCTACATCAAGACACCTTTTTTTCTCATACTTTGTCATACCCTAGGCTGACAAAGTCTCCTTTCCACCCTCATCTCATGCTTTGTCGCCTTCCCCCAGGCTAGAACTAGCCATTGTTATCTTATATGTATATGCCTATATGCCCTCTTGTTACTTGAACTGACAGACAACTTGAGGGACCTCCCAAGCTTGGTATAATGCAAGCTGGTACTAATTGTTTGAATTCCTACAGGCCTACTTTGTGTTGCTACTGCTGACAGATGGCGTGCTCAGTGACATGGGGGACACCAAGAATGCCATAGTCCAGGCCAGCAAACTGCCCATGTCGCTCATCATAGTCGGTGTTGGCAATGCAGACTTCACCGACATGAACGAGCTGGATGGAGACAACGGCGTCTTGAAAGCCCCAACAGGTGAACCGGTCAAGAGGGACATTGTCCAGTTTGTGCCCTTCAGGGAGTTTAAACAGGTTAGTTGCTTGTGATCCGTTAAGGATTTCTAAGTGTTAACAAACTTGTATAGATGTGTAAGTATATATTGGTTTGGTTCCTGGATTTCTATCAAATGCAAATGTCTCAAGCATACAGAACTGTACAGACTTAAATCTTTGTTCCTAGGAGGCTTTTAATTTATTGATTTCTTTGTGACATCAGTGTCTAACTGCTCCACCTCCAAGTTTCAATGCAATGATGATAGTTAGTTAATGGAGAAATTTGCTTTTTTTTTTTTGTTCAGAAATCAGCCGCAGAGCTTGCTAGTCATGTGCTGGCCGAGGTCCCCAAACAGGTGACGGCTTACTACAAAATGAGAGGCCTGAAGCCCAATCAACCTAGAGTGGCCCCGGTCGGACCCCCTGCCGTGACCCCGGTCGGACCCCCTGCCGTGACCCAGTCTGCTCCTTCGGGACCACGTTGATCTAAATATTATTTATCTATGTTAAAGAACAATGATTGCATTTGATGTCCTGTTTGTTTTCTTGTTTCTATGTATTATTAATGTCCTGATGTTAGCTGAGGTCAGTCATCATTATTGGTCATATCTTCAATTAACTTCAATGTGAGGTCAGTCACCATTATTGGTCATTTCTTCAATGGGAGGCCAGTCATCATTATTGGTCATTTCTTCAATAAACTTCAATGTGAGGTCAGTCATCATTATTGGGCATTTCTTCAATGTGAGGTCAGTCATCATTATTGGCCATTTCTTCAATTAACTTCAATGTGAGGTCAGTCATTTTTGGTCATTTCTTCAATAAACTGCAACAACAATTTTGGCACATCTAGTCCATTACTTTTGGGAGGAAATAAATTAATTATCAAATTTCATCAGAAGGTTTCAAGATGATGGCACATTATACTTGTTAGGATATCATGTTCGTCCATTTTCGTGACACCACAAGTGATCACACCACAAGTGACACCACAAGTGATCACACCACAAGTGATCACACCACAAGTGATCACACCACAAGTGATCACACCACAAGTGACACCACAAGTGATCACACCACAAGTGATCGCACCACAAGTATTGTTTTCCCCCCATCATTGAGTAGCCACATTACTAAATCATATTGACTGCACTGAAATTACCCAACACTTCAATGTACTGCTTGGGAGCATGTTAACTTTTTACTGTTAAAATAATTGATACATCAATTGACAAGACCATAATTTCGTTGCCTCCTCAGTTATATGTGATCTATTGTGGACATATGTTAACTCAGTATGTTGTTCTCAGATAGTTAGTACAGCTTTAGAACCTAGAGTGTTATTTAGGGCACTTTCCCCACAGTGAATTCCAAATAACGCAATAAGCTGTATGAAAGAAATGTGCACGGGCCTTGTTGTGTACGTACGGTCACCCGTCATGCCAGGTCGGTTTCAGTTTTATTATTCAACCGTGAGCCTTGTTTCTCTGTTAATGAAAATTTCCATTAAATGTTAATGTGTAAAAGAAGTTTTGTTTTAAACTGTAAGAATAGTATCAACAGTTTGTGGTTGATTAAAAGGGTGTTCACTGCCCAGTGTTTATGAGTGTCAGTTTGTGACTATGTGTATGTACTCCATATTTATGTTGCAATCAACAATATGTGCAAAGCAGATCTAATGTGCACTCATAAATGTTTATATATTTTATTAGTGAGCAATCGATAGCCATTCTTCGAGACAAACAGGTGGATATTGCTGATCAAGTTAGGACATTGCTGGTCAAGTTAGGATCAAAAAAGTAACCACCCGAGTGGTGCCACTCCTCGAGTTGTCCAGTCCCATCCTCCCTCATCACCCCAATTAATTCTGAGGGTTTAGTGAGCTCTTCAACACAATTGAGTTTAGCTTCCAGCTTGAGAACGGCAGCATTGTTACCTGTTTGCTCTGATTTGAAACATCACTGTGCTACAACATCTTGGGCCAATTGTTCCATTTCTGAACTAAAGTGACGCCCCCTATCTGAAAGTTACAGATGTGTGAATGTACCTTTATTCCTTTAGTCTTCAATATCTTTATTGTTGACCTGGTTGTAGACTTTCTCTCAAGGGGTTGATGCTAATATTATAATTATATCACTGTTGACAATACTCTTTACCGGGTTAGGGTTTAATGTTACTTTAAACACTTCAAAAATTTGACAATTTGTGAATCTGGAATAGAGGTTGATATTTTGTTTCATTTGTAGTCTGTAATTTGCATTAGATTGTGCCTTGCTTTTTTTTTTCAGTCCTCAAGTTAGTCACTTGAATTTTGTTCCAATCTTTTTTGAACATTTTTGCATTTCTTTTCAGCAAGTAGAATTTTTTTTGTGTTTAAAAAGTAATAACAGCAAAATATTTTGCAATTTTTACAAAGATTTGTTTAGTCAACTATGCATATTCTGTAACTGTAAAATAGTTTTTAAAACATCAAGCAATTTACTCTTTGCCTGTGTAGTTTATTGATATCCATGAACCCCTGTCTTGCGTGCAACCAATGGAAGACAATCAGTGACAGAGCTTTTGATGGGCCACTCACAGGCCCATGCACTCTTTGTTCGCCTCTTGTGGGGACAATCTGGTCTCCGCTCGTCTGACCCTGCCGGCTGTCCTCATGACAAGAGGCAGGTTTTTAATAGATCAATAAAAGAAAATCACATTTGGGAAAGCTTTTGGAAACTCATCACAAAGTCACTAACTTAACTGGCAATTTGATTAGTAACTTAACTGTTAATTTGATCACTTACTTTACTGTTAATTTGATCACTTACTTTACTGTTAATTTGATTACTATTCTGATCATTTCATGACAGGAAATGTTCATAATATATAGAAAATTGTCTCCAGTGAATAACAGATGCAGCTCCTAGACTTTTATAAAGATTGAAAAACCAGGCAAGGGGCTAATATTATTAATTTTATAAGATGTACATGATTAACTGTGTTGTCAGAACGTTTACACTTCAAAATGTTTTTTATGAGTCCTTGATATACTCCGCGGGTCAGGCTGACCTAGATTGTGCATCCAACACTGTGTTACGGTCTGAACTACATTGCAGAGTTTTATTCCATTTCACAAGAACGGGTTCATTTTAAATTTGTTTTGAAAAGACCTTTATGTGAGCATGTTATTTCCTTAAAGCAAAACACATATTATATTTGATAATGGTAAAATATGCAGATGTAGGCTGTCTGTATCAAAGTATGCTTCAGTTGTCTGCATCTGAACACTATGACATACAGTGTATTTGGCGCAGTTCAGTTTGTTTACCTGGCAAAGCTCATTTGTAAACCAGTCAGAGTTTCTACTATTGTTCTACTGGTCCTCGGGTCTGAATGTAAACATGTGATGTCCACTGAGTGTGTCAGTCATGGGTGTTTAAACCCCCCAACGGTCATTGTCTGGTGTTAAAACCTAAACCCCCCCCAATGGTCATTCTCTGGTGCTTATACCCAAACCCCCCAATGGCCATTCTCTGGTGTTTAAACTCCCAGTGGTCATTCACAGGTCTCGCTGCATCAGGACATGATCTTTATGGGTCATTATTGAAACACTGGTTCTCTTAACTTATAGACTGGTTTAAGTCTATTAGATCAAAATATCTATTTGCTACAACACATTTTTTATGCTATGTTAAAAGTAAAAGCATAATGTCTTATTGTAATTAATGCTCGAAACAAAAGAACAAATCTTGCTTTGAAAAATCTTTTCTTAAATTGTAAAAAAAAGTTATGCTTTGAGTATTCTACAAACTGTAAACAATGATAAAGTAATGTAATACTTGTACAGTAAAGTAATTGTAAATGTTATAGTTTTACAGTTCAATTGTTAGAAGAGCAATCTCATGTAACAATGTTATGATTTCACTCTGTACTCATTTCACTGTTGGGTTTGTGTTGCCGTTGACATAGACATCGTGTGTTGACATTATCAAAGACATCATGTGTTGCAATTGTCATAGACATCATATGTTGATGATGTCATAGGTGTGATTTGTTGATACTGTCATAGACATCATGTGTTGGGTCATATAAAATCATTGATTTATGCTCACTTCAATTTTATTTATATTTTCATTCCACTCTAGAAATATTTTATTAATTTAAGGAAATCGCTTTTATGAATCTTCTCTTTTATTAAGATTTTTTTTGGTTCTTTTATCGCTTGACCAATGTCCAGGACTTGAGTATCCTAGCAACCATCTTTTTTTTACAGTTTGAAATGTTTGTTCAAATGATTCGTTCATGTCCAGATCCATTTCATCCATCGTATCCCACAGATCCTCTCTGAATGTTCCCTCGTTAAATTATGTCTACGATGTTGTAGGTCAACTTTCTTGCCTCTCAGTCGATACAATCTTTCATATGGAGTCTCACCAGCCTTTTTCTGCATGTTATCTTCTACATTTTGTAACTTAACACAAGTTCAAGATGTCTAATGTTTAGCCACAATGTCATCTATTCAAATACAAATAGAGTTGTGAAGTTTTATTTATGACATAAACTGACACATGTAAACTCCTATTTTAATACAATGGTTTAAGTGCGCTTTGGTTGTACCATTAATATCATTTGATATATTGCAACATAACGCTTATGTTAATCTTAGTGCTTTTAATTTGTATAGAAATTGCTGGGTTAGCAACTCTTATAAAAGCAAACTGTTGCTTTTTTTTTCTGTTTTTTTTTTAAATTAGACATATTTTTTTTTATTTGCTGATTCAATTTTCAAGAATCTTTTCTTTTTTTGTTGCTTGTAATCCTTATTCCAATCTTTATTTAGTTAGCTAGATAGATTTGTTTTACTAGATTTAGGTTTTTAATGTAGAAACGTCTTCCTTCAAACCAATAAATTTTGCTCAATAAACGTGCTAAATCTATTTTTACTAATCTGTCAAAATTTACGAATGCATTTTTTAAAATCTAGGCTTAACGATAAATTATGGAGAAAAATGTCAAATCTGTTATTGTTATTTCAGCCAAACCTTTCAAATAATATTAATCGTTTCAAAAAAAATTTAAGAAGTTTTTATTTTTAGAAATATTTTAATCAAGCACCAGACAAACTTAAAACATGTATCTTAAAATTACTTTTTCAAGATTTGATTTAATTGGATTCTGAACTGATCTATCGTTATCATAACACTCAGAGGGTCATGTGATAATTTTCAAAGATGAATTGACCGCCAAAGACCCATTAAACACATTAGTACAATATGTCACATCTTTCACTTTCTGGACCTCTGGTCTGTGACACCTGATCCAGAACTATTATCTCATACAGGCGTGGCCAACCCAAAACACCTCACACGCCCGTAGCCCATTTTATCACGCACACCCGTAGCCCATTTTATCACGCACACCCGTAAGCCATTTTATCACGAGGTATTTCTCCATGGGCCACATGTCTTGTCCCTATACACAATTAAAACAACTTACACAGTAATTTATTTATTCTTAATTTACATAATTTTAAAATGGCAATCCATCCTTATGGCGGCACATAAATAAATAAATATTCATTTGATTAAGATATAACTTAGTTTTATTAAATAAAATTATAATTTAAAAATGCATTTGTAACAATAACGATCAGGAACGTAAATTAAAAGAAGAAATTTGTGATTCATGTTGCATCCGAAAGTTGAGATACATTTTTTGAATCATCTATTTAATTTTGTTTGTTTAGGACAGCTGACCTAATTAGGACCTCTGTAAATGCAGGTTAATTAAATCAGCTCATGGAGTATATATAATGTGGTCAACTTTAAAGTTTGATGTGAAGCAATGTTTTGCAATTGTATTTCTCAAGTATGTCATTTCCTTTAAATCACCAGTTAGGAACCACTTATATAATTCTTGTTTGATGTATCTTTAATGTTTAAAAATTCTTTGATATATTCATATACATTCATTTCAAGCTTTTTGTCTATACATTTGTATAGGAAATAAATACAATTTTAATGTCAGGTGGATTTTAATTGACTCATTCCTTTACTCATTGTTAGGATTTCAGGCTGTCCATGCAAACCTTGGAGTTGTCATGCTACTCATTAGATTGGAAGCCATGCATAGTTACAAATATTTGGGGAATAATTCAGGCAGACAACAATCCAAATCACCCATTTGACAGACAGACATTTGATAGACAGGCATTTAATAGAAGACAAAAGAGGAGGCCGTAACACATAACTGTTAAAAAATTATCATGAGCTGAATGTTTCAAAGGGGATTCCTACGTTTTAGTTTTGTGTCTTGCATGACCTTACCAACATCCAGCATTGGCATCGTTACTTCCAGTCTGTTACAAAAAGTCAAAACAAAAACTTGCAAGATCGACACTGAGACAGTTTCCACTTTGAGACACTTTCCACTTTGAGACACTTTCCACACTGAGACACTTTCCACACTGAGACACTTTCCACATTGCGACAGTTTCCACACTGAGACACTTTCCACACTGAGACACTTTCTACACTGAGACACTTTCCACACTGAGACAGTTTCCACATTGAGACACTTTCCACACTGAGACAGTTTCCACATTAAGACACTTTCCACACTGAGACAATTTCCACATTAAGAAAGTTTCCACACTGAGACACTTTCCATACTGAGACAGTTTCCACACTGAGACAGGATAATATAATTGACAGAATATCAAAGATGCAATGAAAAATTTCAAGTAATGTAATGAAATAATCATTTTAAATGTTTACATAAAAAATTATTGGAGGAAATCAGAAATAAGAAACCAATGAACCATAAATACGATGCTAAAAGTCACCAGCTTTAATGAAGACAGTTGTCCATAGCCACCATATCAGTCATCTGAGGCTTTCTGTGTACAACAAGATTAATTAAGCTGTGTTTCTTATTGTGGAGGTGAAGTGCACACGTCTTTATGAAGATAGGACTGCATGGGTTAATAATAATTTAGACAAATGAAAAAAAAATGGAAATTGTCTGTATAGCCCTTGGATTCTGCTGGCAACTGCTCACTTGTAACAAACCATAAAAACAACTTATGATAAGGATGCCAAGGAAAGGCAACATTAGGGAACAATTGATTCCACCATTCTCTCCATGTTGCCCAATCCACTGGACAGCTTGAGAGGAACTGAGACCAGGGAAGGAGCTGAATAGCCTAATCTAGAAATCTCTTTTTTTAATGTCTCTTATCTTCGGATCCTTATTTTATGTCTCAGATCTAGAGATCCCTATGTACCTAATGACTTTGTGTGACAGCATGTGACAAAAGCCTATTTTTAATAAAGAATCTTCAACTAAAATGAAGTTATTAGTCATTAAACAATACAACTTTTGTGCAAAAGAATTTTACATTAAAAATAGAGTCATCATCGAGGGCCAATGAAAAATTCCTGTCCTACGATGTCACATTATAATACTACTTTGCTCACTGTTTTTTTGTAACTGAAATCACAAAAGTTTTCTGCCGACTGCCCACATTTTTTACAGCTGATCTCGGTTTCCCTATCCCTTGGATCCTAGTTTGTCCATCCCTGGGATTGGGATCTTAATTTGACCACCCTGATTTTAAGAGGGCAAAAACTAATACCACTGGTTTTTGAAGGTGCAGCGCAAAGTAAAACAAGCTTACATATTCAACAATTACTGTACACTATAAATGACACAATTTTCATTTTTGGTGCCATTTTGCCAATGAATAGGGCCATATTTTTATTGCTGTATACACTCGCACATAGGTCACATTTTAAAACAAAAAAAAATCAATAATTGTCAGGGATGCTTCCTGGACACTGCAAAAAACATGGATCTGAATGCTGAAGACGGGGACTTGACCAGGTGAGTTCAAGGGCAATTTTTTTAAAGGTCACATAGTGTACGAGATTGATTTTCCGCTTTCAAGTTGTTATGAAAACATTTTGGTTGAGTCTGTTGTATTTACATTAAAAATAGGCCACGTAAGGCCTCAAAACTAAGGGTGCGACCTATATATAAGTCAATCACAAATACCCACATTAACAACCCCAAAGCAAGGGTGCAACCTATACACAAGTTTATACAGTACATACTTTTTAATTAAGCAGCAATTAAATGCACCTGTGCATTAATTGATGTAAACAGGTGCACAGTTGAACAGACAAATTCTTTCCAAATGCCCTGTCGAATTCTTTTGTTGGCGGCTAACAATGAACAATGTCCGTCCCAATGTCTCATCGAATGCTTTGGTTGAAGGCTAACAATGTCCGTCCCTATGTCTCATCGAATTCTTTTGCTGACAGCTTTTCTTGTCTTGTCGTCCCAGCTAAAAATATACAACATACAATATTGAACTGTTGGAAAGTTCAAGACATGACCAGTAGACTACAATGAGAGTAGATTTTTGGCCTGGATTATAAAAAGTGTGTACCAAAAAAGTGACAAATTTTTTAAATTTTATTTTTAATTTATTTATATTTTTTTAACCAACCATGGTTTGAAATAATGAGTGGTCATAGTGAAGAGGTCATAGTGCAGTTTAGGGGCGAAAAAGTACAAAAATAATATTTCCTCCTTAATATTTTAAGCTGATAAAAAATTGAAATATGATGTCTGAGTCTGGTAAAATTACTTAAATTGTAAATGATAATGGCATAGTCTTAGAATTAAATGTCAACTTACTCAAACAGCTCTCTGCCTCTTATCTCATCCTCTTGCCTTTCTTTTTCCGCCTGTGGAGATTGATTTATTGATAAATATTTACAACAGCAATAGAAATTTTGCAAAATTAATTTCTTATAAGAAAATGCAAATTCCTTTAGAAAACATTGAAAACTAATTAATTTCTAGACAAGCTATTGATTTTTCAAAAATTAGAATTTTTATATTTTTTTATATATAATATTGCTGTTTGTCCATCAAAATCGACTAGGACCATCCAGTTATCCGGTTAGGGGGGAGGGTGGGTTACGGTGAGCTCGTAGGTGGCTTGCTAGACCCAGCTGTGCTTGGAATAATCTCTGGCACCGTGGGCAGAGGATAGTTGCTGCAGTCGGTGATGTCATGTTGCTCTTTTGGGCCAGCCTGCGTGTCTCAGCTGTGGTTATCCTACTAGCTTCATGGGATTTAGTCCCCTTCTTGACAGCTTTCAGTGAGTCTTTGTAACGCTTTTTTTTACCTCCTTGGGAGCGCTTGCCAGTCGTGAGTTTTCTCCGAAGAATATCTGTTTTGGGAGCCGGTTTTTTCCATACTGGCTACGTGTCCCATCCAACGGAGTTGAGACTGCATCAGGGTGGTGAAGATACTAGGTAGGTTCGCTCTAGCGAGGACCTCGGTGTCAGGAACTTTATCTTGCCACCTGATACCGAGGAGTTTCCTGAGGCAGGTAGTGTGAAAATGGTTCAGTTTCTTGGCGTGACGCTGGTAGACTGTCCATGTTTCACACCTGTAGAGCAATGTCGAGAGGACTGCGGCACTATAGACCTTAATCTTCATTTCTCGTCTGATACCTCTCCTTTCCCAAACAGTGCTGCGGAGCCTGCCAAATATGGCACTAGCTTTTGCGAGTCTGCCATTCATTTCATCATCCATGACGACAGATCTAGAGAGGGTGCTGCCCAAGTAAGTAAATTTATCCACCGGGTTGAGACGCTGTCCATTGATGATGATGTTGGGTTCAACAAAGGGCTTACTGGGAGCTGGCTGATACATCACCTCAGTCTTCTTTGTGTTGATTGTGAGGCCAAAGTTATTGCAGGCCTCGGAGATGCATGACGGTTTCTGAGCAGCGTTGAGAGCACAATCGTCTGCAAACAGAAGCTCGTTGATGGTGTTATGTTTGACCTTGGTTTTAGCTTGAAGCCTCCTAAGTTTGAAGACTGATCCATCAGTACGAAACCGGATTGGCAAGCCCATGGTTGAGTCCTTGCACGCATCAGACAGCATTGCAGAATACATAATACTGAAGAGTGTAGGAGCCAAGACACAGCCCTGCTTTACACTGTTGTGACGGGGAATGCTAGAGATGACTGACCGTTGTCCTGCACTCGGGCGATCATGCAGCTGACAGATGATGTTGGTGAACTTGTCTCGGCATCCATACTTTGTCATGATTCATCTCTATTGACCCAGTCAAAAGCCTTATTTAAGTCGATAGATGTGGACTATAGGTCTGTATTTTGCTCCTGACATTTCTCTCTTTGTCTGGCAGCAAACACCATTGAGATAGTTCAGCCTTTTTTGCAGAAACCGCATTGAATTTCGGGTAGGAGACCCGAGATGTGCATTCAGGCGGTTCAGAAGGGCTCGGGCAAAGATCTAGCCTGCGATGGACAGCAATGAAATTCCGAGGTGATTGTCACAGGCTTGGCGGTTTTCTTTATGTTTGTACAGGTGCATAATCGAGGCATCCTTGAGGTTTTGTTTTACAGTTTCCGTTTGGAATAAATGCAATAGCTTATCTGTCAGCGCTGGTCCACCCTCTTTGTACATTTTGCCAGGAATCATGTCGGAGCCAGGTACTTTGCCATTGGACATTTGGCGGATTGCTGTCTGTATCTTGACCAAAGTTGGGACAGCATCCAGTGACTTGTTCGTTGGGAACTGGGGCAGTCTTTCAACGGCCTCATCATTAATGATGGAAGACGTATTGAGCACACTATCAAAGTGTTCCACCCATCTTTCCAAGATTTTATCCTTGTTAGTGATGAGTGTAGAACCGTCTGCACTAGGGAGAGGGGAAGAGCCGGAGCTGGTAACTCCATAGATTTCTCTCAGACCACGGTAGAAGTTTTTCATGTCTTTCTTGTCTGCAAAGCCTTGAATTGCATCTGAATTATATAAAATAAAGTGTGATAGACGTACCGCCAATCCATTCGTGAAAATGCCATCAAGGTCCATGTGTCGGCTGCCGATGTAAACCTGTAAGTCCCTGCCACCAATGATGGTGGGGAGTTTCCCTGTGCCAGAGTGTTCCGTCTGTTAAATTAGGTCAAAATTTCATATCACATGTGGTCAACTGACAACAAAATACTTCAT